AATTTTATAAACTTTGTTTTCTCGTCTCCTAAGAAGCATTGACATGAACCCTCGGGCATGGGTCTTACATTATTCGACCCACTAGCCGATCCAGGATTTAATTTTGGGGGAAGGGCTTCAGCCCGATAATTTTTTTGGGAAAAAAAGAAACTAACTAGCTATATGAAATGGTTTTTAAGTCATACTTGAAGTCCTATTAAATATAATTACACGAACAATATTTTTTAAATATTTTTTTCCCTAAAACAAGGTAACATTTTACTATTTTGGGGGAGGCTTCAGCCCCAAGGATTTCCCCCTCCCCGTAGACCTACCTGTGATTCGACCTAGTATCACCAAAAAATATTTATTTGAAATCGAGGATCTTTTATTTGCTGTTAAACGCAATGTTAGATCTGCAAAAAATCACTTTATCCCTTATTTTTTTTCAATCAGACCCGAAGCTTACAAAAAAAAAACTAAAAAATAATATATTTTGAAAAAAAAATTAAACATCCAATAAATGGATAATATAGAGCAAAAATAAGCAAATAATATAATTCTAGATTCATATCGAAACCTCAACTATAAATGAAGTATTTATCTGACTACTCAATATTGATGCAATCATCTAGTAAGTTACGTAAGAAAGTGGACGTCAATAAAGTTATGGATGATTTATCAAGGCTACTAATTATGGAAAGAAAGAAGACCATTTAACTATCTTGGGAAAAGGTTGCTCATCGATAATTTACGGAGGGCAATTTTCTTATTCCCGCTTGATATTTAGAAACGTTTGACTTCATTTTAATTGGCGTTTTTAATTTATGTGTTGATTATTCTAACTAAATTTTAATTAGCTGACCTATTTATTTCAATTCAAGATGTTTATATAATACAATTATTTTATAAACCATAACATATAAATTGTAAAATCCGGAATACCTCAAACCGTAACTATCTATATATTTTTTAAAAAGGTCTTGGTATTGAAATATTTATGACTTATATCTCTTCGTCTTGGTAATAAAATATCTAAAGGTTGATCTCCAAAACTTGCTTTAACACTTCTTGCATATTCTATTGAATTTACCGCTGAACCTGAAGGACTTTTAAGAAATATCCATTCGCGAAAAATGTAGATAAGTCTTTAGACAAAAAAAATATATTCAATGATTAGATATAACAATTTTGACAAACAATTATATTTTTTATTGCTGCCTCACTACCGTAAGTAGTGACATCAAGGAAGTCTGCCTATCTGTGACCAATGGTGACGAAAATATTCGCTTGTCCAACTTTCATGAAATTTTCTGGGATTGTACGGTTTGGTGCGCAGATGACCCATATAAATTCCATTATAATACTGTTTCTTAGGCAAATGCGTTTTCTTAATTATACCAATATTTCGGAACGGCTTGTTCGATTTGGCTCAAACTTAGAAGAAAAGTTGGTACTGGTAAAGAAATGATGCTGTACCATTTCAATAGAATCCTTTGCTGTACCAATTTAATGGAATTATACAATATTGCATTTTTTTCTTTAACTAGTTCATAAATATTAAATTGACTGAACGGAAAGAAAGGAATAGTTTGCCAAAATTGGAAAAATAATCTGCAGTTCAAGAGACGAAAACTTAATGGTTAAAACTTATTTTAATATATTATCTTTGTTTCAGTGTGTAAACGAATTTCATTTAAAAACTTTTAAAGGGCTTTTGAAATTTATAATTTTAGAGTCACTTTTTTATATTCAAGAATTTCTCTTAACATCATCATGCCATTATTGCAGTGTTAATATATTCTTAAATTAAAATGTTTTTAAAATTTGTTTTTTCATTATCTTCAAATCTTCAAAACTGAAACTGAATGCATAGACTTACTTACTTAAACCCATATGGACATACTCATTACATATATGTGTTACTAAAAAGACTCACCTACAAACTTTCCAGTCAATAAATTATTGCGTCTCATTACAAAAGCACCATACTAAGTGACTGACAAAACTTCCAATAGTTGCCCAACATATATTGATAGAATATCCTATTATTGATAGAATCTCAGAATCGTTAATATATATATAATAAATAGGGCTTTATGTTTATTAATATAAAATTCTCTTCCCAACCATTTGGAGACTTTATTGTTCTCATATTTATGCACTAATTGTTTTTGCTATAGAACTTTATTTGCGCCTGTCGACGTTTTGTTAGTAATTAGCAAATGTGCTAGAAATACAAGATCTAACTGACTAGGAATGGGAAAGGAAAGTAAGGAAAGCAGCACCTCTTCCCTGAATTTTTTTCAATTTCTTAGGTTGGTTAAGGAAAGAGATCTCTCATCCAACGTCTTTTTAGTCTCCTCCTCATGTTCTGGGGTATGTCAGCAGTTGCCATGTATCTGATTGATAATTTAATTTATTATGTCGGTTTAAATTTGTATAAAATCGATGATAAAGGGTCGTTATATGTTGGGCAACTGTTGGAAGTTTTGTCAGTCACTTAGTATGGTGCTTTTGTAATGAGAAGCTATAGCAAAACTTTCTTCAACTATTACCATTTTTATCTGATTTTATTTTTAATTCACTTATTGCACAAATAAGTTTTGTTTAGTCGAAGTTTGCACTGTGGTATTAAAAAGTGTTTGTGTTCACAAAAACAATCACATAAATATTCTGTGTTTAGAAGACGAATAGTTTACAATTTTCCGCATTGCAGTATGTTCATGATGGCTACATATTTTAGCTATTACGTGTCCTGTTTCTAGATAATATCCTTAGTTAGATCTTGTTATACTATACGTGACATTTTTAGATTTATTGTGAGTTCAAATGCATAAGTTTTTAGAATATAATTTTATTTTCAATTCAATGCAGTCGAAATAATAAAGGAACAATAAACATATAAAATAAAATAATATTATTGCTTTATTAAGCTCACCATAAAATACTGACGAAAAAAAAAATAGAGTCAGATATATTTTTTTTTTTATTCGTTAGTTACTAATTTCAAAACCGTTTTTGTAATATTTCTTTTTGATAGCTTTTAACTGATAACTACAAATATCAGGTTGTGACAAAGTTTACCACATTAAAGATATTGTCAAAATACAAATTATTACTATTAATTATAATTGTTAAAAGAAATGTATGAAACCAGTCATAATTTATAACCAGATCTCGGATTTTTATGATAGGATATCTCTCAGAATCAAGCATACAATATGCAGTGAAAATAGAATTAACTACAACGAGACTGTAATTATCAAAACTCTTGTCCGATCTGATAACACAACCTTTTTTTAAAGTATTTATATTTTTTATTAAGAATTTTTTTATCTATTCATGATATTTACAACTGTATTAATAAATAAAATACATTAAGTAAATTTGATAACAGAAAATAATAACATAAAATCACTTGTTGAGAAACTACCCACTGGTAGCACTCTAAAAACAAAATGTATTTACAATAAGATATCTCGAGGCCGTCTTCTTTTCAGACGCCTCGGAGGGGATTATTAAGAATTAAAAACAAATTTTGCCTCAATTTGAATTGCCTCAGTATGAAACACAATCATACCATAAAAGGAAAACAATAGTAAATTATAACAAAATAAAACTTGGAATAACAGAATAAATTAAACATAAGACAACATTAAATAATATAAAATAAAATAAAAAATACTTATTTGTAATATTTACAGCCAGCCGAGGGAGTTCCGAGTCTGGCCCTTTCCTCCACGTGTGGAGGACAAGGGAAGACTCCAAGAGATCCCACCGCTTCTCTCTCCGTCGCATCACTAGGATGGGAATCCAGTGGAGACTAAGAGAGGGCACTAAAGCCACATAAGCTCATAGCATGTGTGGAGAAGCTGGTCATTGCCAGGACTATAGTGATGCATATACAAAAGATCTCGAGGCCACTGCAGTTTCAACGTTCTAGGAGGATTGTAGATATTACTGGAACAGGATAAGGATTGTACTAAGGGATTCGAATGATGGATTAGGTTCTAATGAAAATTTGAAAATTTGAGAATTGAGATGGAACAACGTCTAGGACATAAGGGATGTTAAGGTCATGATGTAAGGCTTTGTTATTACATAATTAGGAGCATTGACGATAATTGGAGGACTTTAGACTGGAAGGATTGGACTTGTTTTATATTAAAAAATTTAGATGTCCTCCACAGTTCAAGTTCGTAAGTCAAGATGGGTTTCAGTATGGTCTTGTATATTAATAGTTTCTTTTCAATTGAGAGGTTAAATTTTCTGTTAAGTGGTCTGTATAACTGGCTAAATCGTCGGTTAAGTTCATGTCTTTTAAGTCTGGTATGTGGGTTCCATGTTATCCAACTGGATCCAAGATACATAACTGTGTCTGAGGTGGGATATAACATAATCTAGAATCTTTATACTGCCTACAGTTTCACTGCAGCGGTCAGAAAGAAACAGTTGGGATTTGACTTCATACTTAGACAGCCGAGTACTGCCAACGAAATATGCTTCATTCGATTAAAGCAGAGGTCTCCAAACGTTTTGGCTCGCGGGCCACATTGAGACCACGACTAAGCTCGACGGAGCGCATTGAGACCTCCATCCAACTCCTACTTGGTTTGTGATGAAAAAAAAAATTCTTGTTCTATAAATAACACTTCAGCTCTGAAATGAGTTTTCTATAAGAAAGAACTCACGCAATAATTTTACTATGTAACTCTCGGGGTTGAGTTTCCTGGAGATTCCTGGACTAAAGCATTGCCGCGGTGGACAGTATAAGCAAACCTTAAATATGCATTAAAATGCAGAGTTTAAGATTAACAAGGCAATTCTGCACTTGCCTCACATCGTACCCCCAACAAAGTAAAATCTATAATAGATATGAAAAAACGTAGTCTTTAATTATATTTTTTAAACATATTTATATATGTTTTCCTAAACATTCATTACAGTCTATTTGAATTGTAAACTTGTTGTTTGAGTAAATTAAAAATAAGTTTTAATATATAAAATAATTATCGAACCTGCATATCTCTGGTGAGAACGCTACTATGCTGTAGTTGTCGGGCTTCCTGAAAGGGGGAAAGATGGTGGAATCAGTCCCAGAGAACCTCCTGCATTCGCCACCAGACCAGACCACGTTCTCCGAATTCCCGTTCATGGCTACTACCTTCCCGATGCTGTACACATCCTGGACTCCTTTCTTCACCGTGATCCGGGCCTCCTCTGCAGTTGCGTTTCTCTATTTTAGAATAAAAAACATATATATAGGCAAGTCAGTAGAACAATTATTATGAAATAAAACTACTACTATCTTGGCCTTTTAATATATCTGCATATATCTGCATTGGATTGCTGTTTGAAGATGGTTCAAGGAACCATGGAAGCATGAAGTCTAATCCTGACGTTACTTAACATTTTAATCAGGTATAGTAAAGTTCGGATGTGGATTACTCACTTTAATAAAATAAACCAATCAAAACTTAAGGCTGCAAAATTACTTAGGGCTCTTACTAAGGCCAGGTAAACATTTTAATACTGGCTTTTCAAGTAAATGTTTAATGACATTACTTGAAAAGCGGTTCTGTGTAAAAAATTACTTGAAGATTACTTGAAGACATTACTTGAAATAAATCAAAGTGGTTCTGTGTAAATGTACCTAACTTATTTGTATTGATTTCATTCCTATCCAATTGATACTGGTTTCCAAATTTTTGCTTTCTTACAACGGAAGTTAGGGACCTTAGTATTTGTACGGCAGGTTAGTATTTCTACTCTTAGCGTACATGTATTATTTTTTTTATAATGCCTTAAATATTTGAAAAATAATGTTGAGAAATATTCAGGTTTGAAAATTCTGATATTTCATTATATCTTCCTACTTACCTAGGCAATGCTCAAACTCCTCAGACTGATCAAGTTCAATATATTGGATCGACATTTGATAGAAGAATAACATGGGACCGACATATAAAGATCAAAGCAAAAACACTAAATCAAGGACTATGACTGCTATATTTACTTCTTTCAAGACGTTCGAAATTAAAACATAGTCAAATATTGAATATATACACTTACTTAAGCCCATTTGGACCTAATACTTCACGGATATACAGGACAACCAAAATGACTCACATACATAAACCAGGGACTTTTCAATCAAAAACTTTCAGGACTATCACCAAGACTCTCTGGTATGTTAGTAACGTTAGTTTAAATAAATACTTAAAAGATGCCAATAGTTAACGACCACATACGAACATACTATAAATATTTCACAGTAACTTACACGGCCTTAGCAACTCACTGATTCAAGGCTTGGCCAAAACCAAAATAATGAACATGAAATCAACTTACGAAGGGACGCCGCGGGGCACTCCTTTCTCTCGCGTCTACCAACGTCTTATCCATACTCTTCTTCCCGAAAGCACACTTGCTGGTGGATGATATTTCGAACAGGTGTGAGTTTCAAAATAAAGTGAAAAAAAAAAATTCCCATTAAATGAGAAATTCCCTGAAAGTTTACTATGCCAACAAAAAACAGATATACCTGAATTGAATGCTGTATTTTATTTATTGCCACTGTTACGCAATCTGAGAAACATTATTTTTAAAATGATTTTGTTAGCTTTGTTTGTGTTACATAGTTATGGCGGCAATATGAAAAGTACATTTAGATTATATTGTTTTTATTTTATTTTATTTCATACCCTCTTTTTATATATCTTCGTCTTCAATCCTTGGATTTTTTGTCCTGTTAATAATTCTTTCACTGCTAAAAAGCATTGTAAGGTATATTTTGCTTCTTTTTATCGTTTCTGTATATTTTTTCTAAATCTGATTTTATTTGTCCTTAACCTCAATATAGTGATCACTCAACCAATGCGGGTGACTATAATGTGCCATTATAGAGGAAATGTGGAATTAATTGCTGTTATGTCCTATTCTGGGTCCCATGAGGACAACTTCCTCTCTGCGCTGACTGACGACTGGAACTGTTCCATGGTATTACCTCATTCTTTTGACCTTCAATCTATTTGGAGGAGTGTTGAACCGCAGTGTCAGCCAATCTTGGTATATGGCCTCTTTCAGTGGTAGCAATTAAGGAAGCTTTACCTCCTCCTGGAAGGGTAAGAGCTTCCTTTGCTGCTCTATCAGCCATTTCATTTTCAATAATGCCTATATGACGAGGAGATTATACAGTATATATATACACGCTTAAACATTATTTTGCTTTTTCATAATTCCTAAAATACCACGTATTCCTCGGCGATTCGCAAACATGTTGGTCATGGCTTTAAAGACACTCGAAGTATATAATAACATAACATCTATAACTGGCGACTACATAATATATCATAGGGCCTTAATTTGCGATAGTATACATGGAAAAAAGTTGATGTAGCTTACATTACTAACTATGCTAAGTACAACTTACATTTACATTTATACATCAGGTAGAACGAAACTGTTGATGTTTCCAATTTCGAACCGTCGGTGAATATCAGTAATTGTTTAGGTATAGATTAATTCATTTTAAGGACATTTTTTATTATATTTTTCAGTAATCGTATTTGCTTTTTAAATTTAGGTTTCAGTAGTTTAGCAGTTAATAAAAAAATAAGTTACAATGGATCATGAGGGGAAAGTCGAAATAGAATTTAATTCATAGAAATTTATAAATATTGTTGATACTGTAGTATATCAAATATTGATAAAATTCGAACCCATATTATTCTGAACTCGTTATCGGAAGGGCAATTCCAAGGAACCAAAAACAAGCTATCCACACAGAAAATCAATATAAATAAATTAAGTCAAAGCTTTTTTATAAATATAAAAATATGTAATCAGGCTGTCTTACGATTGTTCTGAATATTATATAGACCTGGTACCTTGGGGATAACGCATCATAAATTCAATCCACGACAAGATGAATAAGATATGATTCACTGAAAGGGTTCTTTAGTAATTTTTTTTTAATCATTTCGGGAGTTTGTTCTGTAACAATTACTGTAGTAAGTAAATAATTAAGTCGATAACTATTATATTACATTACCACTATATTTATAATGAAAAATCTAATATGTTTTATTATTTTAAAGGCAATTATCTACCCTCTCATGCTTGATAAAGAAGTTGACATATATTTATTATTTTTTATTTTTATATAAAATGTTTTAGTTACTTGAATTTACGAAAAGGATACTTATATTTTATTTGTTTACTTTCGGCCTCCCACCTAGTCTTTTTCCAGCTATTGTGGAATTTATTGTTGTGTAGAAGCTTCATGATGAATTGGTTGACCAGTTTTTGTTAGTAGTTCTTTATTGGTCTCTTTCTCCATCTCTTGTTTAATGTTTTAATGCTAAATACACATGTATCATAGCCAATAATCATAACTGACATTATCACAACATTTTATACTCTTGAGTCGGGGTTTCTATTTTTCATGATTTTATTACCAGAAAGAGAGAGAAAATTCTGATTGCGCTTATTAACCGCTGTTCTATCGCTATTAGATGATCATTTATTGAGGGTGTAGTGGAACTGAAGTATTTAATTTGTCGATTTTTCATTTTTTTAGATTATGTTAGGATGGATTTTTCAGCTCACAATCCTAGATATTTTGTTTCATCTTCATTTACTTTTAGTAAGAATTATAAGAAATTCATTTCCTCTGTGTTGATTAGTCCATTGTGAGTTTTTTAATGTCCTCTTGATTGGTTCCGAGAATAGCTATATCATCTACATATCCTAGGATTTTATGATTTATATTATTATTTTTTATTATTTATAATAAAATGTCACTATATTATGAGTTAATAATTGCAAAAAGGTTGCATACAGTGAAATTAGAAATATTTTAATAAACAATTTAATGCAATAAACTATTGTAGGATATATATAGTTAAAATACTTTCTGGGTTTTATTTTTTTTTTCTCTCTCACGCACACAAACATTCATTTCAGATTTTTTGGAATAATATTAATACGTTAAACAACTCACTATCACTATTTTATTTTGTAAATAAAAATAGATAATTGCAAAAAAAAAAAAACTGTAAAGTTAAGTACATAATATAAGTCGTCTACTAAAAAAGGAATAACTCTAATTTGTTTTTATTTTTAATACCTATTTTTAAATATCTTATATTTTTGCTAAAACACATATTTACAAAATAGATCATTTTAGTTGCAAAACACAACGCGCTACAAAGAAGAAAAATAAGCATATCAGGAATTATTTTTATTAATAAAAAACAGTTATTAATAAAAAACAGGTTTTTTTTCGCATAATTTTAGAATTAGGAGCTATTCCTTAATGTTAATAGACGACTCATATGTGGGTAAAAGAATAGTGTAGAAAAAAAAAATATTATTTTAATTTTTAACGTTTGGACCATGTTGAATATCATCGAGGTGATTTTGATTGAGAACAGATCACTCAGTTACAATGGTGTGAACAAGTCTTCGGACAAAAGAATTTTTTTACAAAAATGATAAATGTTTAAATTTAAAAGTGTTTTTATCTTCTTAATTGTAAACTGGTTATTATTTGTAACCTTGCAGACATTGTTGATGTAATATGTATTTAAATTAGCATTATTTTCAATTAACAATAAGCCAAGGGACCAATCCGTTATGTAAACGTTATTTTCAGGGACTATATATTGCTTTCTTATTGTTTAAATTTCACTAATTTATTATAAACTCAAGTCTTTATTCTTTATTTTTAACATTAAGAGCTTTTGTATAAAATCTAGGAAGCTGAATGTACCTGTAAAAATTGTTCTATACTTGGAATTATTCGCTTTTTTATTTAATTTAATTTAACATGCCATATTTCATCATTGCTTTTTATTTTCTGTTTAATGTTACCTTTTTTTTAATAAATGGTAAAATATGAACATTTATGATAGTTATTTTAATGAAAAATGGAGTTCTGTCCAGTCAGTTTAATCCCAGATGGTACTGAATGGTATGTAAGATTGCTAAAGGTTTCCAACTCCAGTTCAAGAAAAGCATCCAAAAATCATTTCAATTTCACTGCCTTATTAATAATTGAAAATAATGCTAACTTAAACATTTATATTACATCCACAAGTAAAAGTATTACATCTAGGTTAAATCTGTTTACAATTAAGAAGATAAAAATACTTTTAAATTGAAACATTTGTCATTTTTGTAAAAATTTGTTCGAAGACTTTTTTACACCAATGTGCATCAAATATTCTATTT